TATCAGACAAGCGCTGCCACAAGATTTTTAACTTAAGAGAATAAATCATTGAGTCAAATGCATTTAAAAATTAATCTCATTCTGCACAGATTGTTTTCAACTAGTTGGAATGGGCATTAGGCACCCATGCACGAGAACATCAGCTGTTCAAAATGTGAAGAATCTACTAAGCTCATAAACATACTTCTTGGCATATCAGTAAAAGATTTTGTTCAATTTTATCAATTTTTACAAGTAGCTATTAAAACATTAAATCTCAGAATAATAAAACAATTTATTATAGAGTCATAGCAAAAAGCATGCTTGTTGTTACGGTACTGGTACAATAAGCTCATCAGATGACTTGAGAACTTTTGCCTCCTTAAGTTCAGATTACTATTGGTACCAAGATGCAGGATATCCTTAGACTATGCAATTATTCAATAATGTTATTAACCCATGTTTGCTTGAAGAAGATCCTAGAAAGTTTATTCTGGATACCATCTCTCCTCCAGAACTTCACATGTATGAGCATGTTGTGACAAAAATTATTGACATTCTTTTAGTTAATAAGAGCCTTGAATCCTTTTTTAACAAAAATACTGTAATATGGCATAGTTTAATGGTGTCGGAAAGGTTGGACCAACTGAGGGAAAGTTCTCAAATTATTAGATATGAAATGATGCTGGTAATACCAAATCAGTTATACCCCTGCGTTGAAACCCTGCAGAAGTTTAGAAACAGGTAACAGTTATATATATATGTATTTGTATATATATATATATATATATATATATATATATATATATATATATATATATATATATATATATATATATATATATATAATATATATATATATATATATATCATAATTATTGACAGATTCAAGGCCCAATATAATAAATATACAATGGGTAAAATAAAGTGGATATAAAAAAGAAGGCATTTGAATATAAATTAAACCCAGAGAAAAAAAAAAATGAATAAAGTAAATATAACTCAGATCTTTCTTTATTCATATATATAGACATCAAACATCATCAAAACATATCTAAAATTAAAAAAATTAGTTTACATTTATGAGAATCCTCATTATTTTCATTAAAACAAATCTCAAAAAGAAAACAAGTTTTCCTTTCGTATTTAAACTAAAGTATAATAAAATCAGCTTATGTAAAGATGAAACATTGTCAAATAAAATAAAAAATAAGAGGTAAGAAACACCATAAAACTGACCAAAGCAGAGTATCTAATTTTATCTAAATATAATTTTCACAAAAATATATTCACATTTCACTTAAATAAGTATAAAAGTATGAAATCTGAAGATAATCATTCAATCGTATATATATTCAAACATTAAATTTTCTTGGGTGGTAGAAACATGATTCCATACCGTAAAGTTAGGTGACGTAAGGTTTATTTTTTGACGAATAATTAAGTATTTAAGATGTGAAAATCATTGATAAATGATTTTTTTATGCAATGGTTATATGTGAGTATTTAATTATCGGTCATGCGTGGTAAAATGTTTTTAATAAATAGTATCTCAATACAAAGTTTGTGGAACATGATTTTATTCTATAATACAAATGTGTTTTTACAATTTATATATAAATCATGATATTAGAATGAAATTTGTGATCATAGTATCAAAGTAAATCGCGGTTGTTAAGATGTTTTGATAATTTAGAAAACTAAATTATAGCATGTTTGCTGTAGTTGGTTTGTTTGTTCATTAGTCATTTTGCGAGGATGGCTAAGGAATTATTTCTAAAACCAAAATTTTGAGTGTGACATGCATTAAATATATGGTAAAGTTATAACCCAGTGGACACGAACGTAAAAAAGACGTCTTTTAAACGTCTTACATACGTTTTGGACGTCTTTTGAACGTCTTTTGAGTGTTTTGGACGTCTTTTGAACGTTCAAAACGTTTTTTTAGTCTGTTGCCCACTGAGAACAAGGACATTCTTGAGTTTTATTTTTATCTTTTTTTATCTTAGTGCTTCTACTTTGATAAAAAACTTTATACAAACAGCAACAACAGCAGTATCAACAAGATATTTATTTTCCTCAAAATTTACAATAATATAATTACAATAACTTAATAATAATAGTAATAATAATAAAAATATCTATAATATAGTAAATAATAAAATCAAAATATCACTATTTTATCCAGGTTTATACAATTTTAATAGCTATCACTAAAGCTATGGCGATGGTTTATATTTTAGCCAATTTAAAATATACACAGAGTATACGGATATAATATAATAGGGGTATACTATTATACACAGGGTATATACAAATGCAAATACAATAGTAAATTCTAGTGTATTTTCAAAGAACATTATTTTTCAAAAAGTATTAAAGTATTTATGTGCAAAAAAAGTACAGATTTTCAAATTAAAGAAAAATATGCATCATGTTTTCGATATTATTTTTTTCATCTTTTTACGTAACATGGTTTGCTTAACTTTAACAATGTTCCCCATCTAGATTGGGATAGGAAAAATTTATAAAAAGTATACAGTTTTATAGCAAGTTAATTTAACAAACCTACTTTTATCGAAGCTTAAAATAAAAAGTTCGCAGTTGTGATAAAGTGATTTAGGATAATTTAAAAAGTTAGCAATCAGGTCAAAAAAGCACCTGAAATAGATCAACGTTTTGTATGTTATTATAAAAAGCTGTTCCAAATACAAATTTCAGATATCATCCAATATTTTATGTCAACTCACAGTTGCTTTTTTCTTGTATTTCCCCTTTCCTTTACGTGTAATGAAGACAATTTTCGGCTTGGTATTTGTCTAACTTTCTACAGTGATCCTAGCAATTCATTCATCTGAAGTGAGGCTTTCGCCATAATGCTTTTTCACTCGTCTCAATTTGCCGCTTCCCTAGTTTTTCAACAAAAGGTGTGGGTTTTGACCCTTAACTAAAATTGTCTTATTTAATTAAAATTATAAATAGTTATATATCTAATATTAAATGCAGATGTTATTACTACAAATTTCTAAACCAGTATGCATATGTTTAGTGAGATACAATAAGCACATACTTAGTGAGAAACAGAAAGTTGGCATTCAAAAACATGAATTAAAGGTTTATTAAAGGAATAGATGGTTCAAGTTTTTTTGCTTTTTTGTGTTGTTCCATATCTTTTCAGGGGGTGGAATTAGTCCGTGGATAGGTTTACCCCAGTCTACCCTTGAATTGTTCGATATAAGTTCATAATATTTGAGCTTTATATATATATATATATATATATATATATATATATATATATATATATATATATATATATATATATATATATATATATATATATATATATATATATATATATATATGTATATATATATATATATAAATATATATATATATATATACATATATATATATATATATATATATATATATATATATATATATATATATATATGTATGTATATATATATATATATATATATATATATATATATATATATATATTATATATATATATATATATATATAGATAGATGTATATATATCTACATGTATATGTATATATCTATATATATATATATATATATATATATATATATATATATATATATATATATATATATATATATATATATATATATATATATATATATATATACATATATATATATATATATTTATATATATATATATATATATATATATATACACATATATGTATATATATATATATATATATATATATATATATATATATATATATAAAAAATATATATATATATATATATATATATATATATATATATATATATATATATATATATATATATATATGTATATATATATATATATATATATATATATATATATATATATATATTATATATATATATATATATATATATATATATAGTTTATCTAAAATAAAAAAACAAATGTAATATAATTGGTTGTACTAAAAGTATAATGGTTCCTCATGTGTATGAATTAGACAGTTTTCCATAATGTGATTCTTATTAAAATATGACATTATGGAAGAGTAAAAGCAATTGGTTTTAATAGATTATGACATCTGTAGCGGTGAATACACCCTACAGATGCCACAGATATCTGAGATTAGTAGTCATTGCTACACAAAATACAACACTAGCTGGGCATAAAAGATACTTTTATATTAAATTTACTAGATTAGCATAGAACATTTTCAATTAACTATTGATCTTTTTAAAGTCTACAGTGGCGACACAAAGTAAGGACAAATCCGACAGAATCTAGCATTTTTTACATTTAAGAGGTTCTAACGAAAAAGATTTTAAGAGATGTATGTTTTCTTATCCAAATTATTGAACAAAACATACAAAGTGAACACATATGTAAAACAAACATTGTTTTATTGATATTTGGTATGGTATCCACGAGCTTTAATCACACACCTCATACGGCTATGCATTGAGGCAAAAAGACCATCAATTGTTGTCTATGGGATATTGTTCCACGCGCCTTTTAACAATACTCACAGGTCATCCAAATTGGATGGTTTCTTTCCCTCAATGCTCCTAGACATGAAACTCCATAAATTCTTGATGGGCTTTATGCCTGGACTCTGAGCAGGCCAGTCGAGCACGTCCATTCCATTTTGACGAAGGAAATTTGTTACCTTCTTTGCTTTATGACGTGGCGCATTGTCATGCTGGAAGATAAACCGATTTCCTTGTCTAAACAGAGTATCAGCAGATGGTTGCATTGAGTCCTGAAGCACCCCAATGTATTGGTCTTGGTTCATTTACCCAATGCACCGATACAACTGCCCTACCCTGTGTCCAGACATGCACCTTAAAATCATAACACTACCACCGCCATGCTTCACAGTTGGTGCAATACAGTCTTTTTTAAACTTTTCACCAACTCTTCTTCTAACAATCAGTCTCTTTGCCCCACAGAACAGTTGAAATAAATTTTCATCGGAAAAATAACGTTTTTCCAGTCCTCGATAGTCCAGTCTCTTTGTTCCCTGGCAAAGACTAACCGTCGCCGGATAAGGCGGCAGAGAGCAAAGGTTCCTTTGCTGCCACACATCCTCTCAATCCGGCTTTTTGTAGTCTCTTCCGCACATTTCTGGAGGCCAAATTAACTCCATGTTCCTCCAACAGTCTCCGGCTTAGTTGTGGTGCAGTCATGCGACTATCCTGAAGTGACATGCGGACCAGCACCCTATCGATATGAGCCGTCTTCTTCTTTGGCCTTTCAGAACGTGCTTTGTCTGCTGTAGAACCTGAATTCTGATATTTCTTAACGATTTTTCTGACGCCGCTTGCAATAGAACCCAAAATTGTTGCAATTTTACTATAATTTTTACCATTTTCTGCCATGAAAACAGCACGGAGGCGCTCTTTTTGGGACAAGCGACAATGTTTTACCATTTTTTCGACAACAAAAAATACTGATATTAGATCATTAAATTAAACTTAAACAGACAAAATAATATTAATACTGACAGTGAAGCTGTTAAAATGGAAGCAGATGCTAATAAAACACAAAAAAATTGGCTAAAGTAAAAAAAACTTGGTGGAGAATACCTTCAAACTCAATAGTTACCCTTGTCTGCTGGTTCTCATTAACTATATCGGGCATTAAATGAGCTTAAATGACTTTAAATGTTATATACTGACTTAAAACGTGAATGGTAATAATATAAACATATATTTTTTACCAGTTAATAATGATGACATTATTATCACAATAAAGGCACATCACTTACCTCTACTGTCTTGTTTCCTATGCTTAAAATATGATAAACAACTTTCCAATGTCTTATAATAATTTATCAAAAAAAAACATGTGCTTGTTGCTAAGGTAAACAGGAAGTGCAAAGATATTAACGTGTCAACACAACAGAGATCAATAAATGTAGCTATGATGCTATCATCTGATAAATATTTGGACAAAAGTTGCAGTGATTTGATTTCTGCTGGATTTGTCTTTAGTTTGTGTCGCCACTGTAAGATAGTAGACAGAGCTGCAAGAATCAAGATGAGGACGGTTCTCATTAACTATATCGGGCATTAAATGAGCTTAATTGACTTTAAATGTTATATACTGACTTAAAACGTGAATGGTAATAATATAAACATATATTTTTTACCAGTTAATAATGATGACATTATTATCACAATAAAGGCACATCATTTACCTCTACTGTCTTTTGTCCTATGCTTAAAATATGATAAACAACTTTCCAATGTCTTATAATAATTTATCAAAAAAAAACATGTGCTTGTTGCTAAGGTAAACAGGAAGTGCAAAGATATTAACGTGTCAACACAACAGAGATCAATAAATGTAGCTATGATGCTATCATCTGATAAATATTTGGACAAAGGTTGCAGTGATTTGATTTCTGCTGGATTTGTCTTTAGTTTGTGTCGCCACTGTAAGATAGTAGACAGAGCTGCAAGAATCAAGATGAGGACGGTTCTCATTAACTATATCGGGCATTAAATGAGCTTAATTGACTTTAAATGTTATATACTGACTTAAAACGTGAATGGTAATAATATAAACATATATTTTTTACCAGTTAATAATGATGACATTATTATCACAATAAAGGCACATCATTTACCTCTACTGTCTTTTGTCCTATGCTTAAAATATGATAAACAACTTTCCAATGTCTTATAATAATTTATCAAAAAAAAACATGTGCTTGTTGCTAAGGTAAACAGGAAGTGCAAAGATATTAACGTGTCAACACAACAGAGATCAATAAATGTAGCTATGATGCTATCATCTGATAAATATTTGGACAAAAGTTGCAGTGATTTGATTTCTGCTGGATTTGTCTTTAGTTTGTGTCGCCACTGTAAGATAGTAGACAGAGCTGCAAGAATCAAGATGAGGACGGTTCTCATTAACTATATCGGGCATTAAATGAGCTTAATTGACTTTAAATGTTATATACTGACTTAAAATGTGAATGGTAATAATATAAACATATATTTTTTACCAGTTAATAATGATGACATTATTATCACAATAAAGGCACATCACTTACCTCTACTGTCTTGTGTCCTATGCTTAAAATATGATAAACAACTTTCCAATGTCTTATAATAATTTATCAAAAAAAAACATGTGCTTGTTGCTAAGGTAAACAGGAAGTGCAAAGATATTAACGTGTCAACACAACAGAGATCAATAAATGTAGCTATGATGCTATCATCTGATAAATATTTGGACAAAAGTTGCAGTGATTTGATTTCTGCTGGATTTGTCTTTAGTTTGTGTCGCCACTGTAAGATAGTAGACAGAGCTGCAAGAATCAAGATGAGGACGAACAAGGAAAATAAACAAAGTACGAAATCTCAAGATATTGAGATTGACAAACTATCTTTTGATCATTCCTATAACCTTAATGGCGGTGTTATTCTTAGTACTTACAAAATAAAAGTCAAATTACTGTCAATGAAGATCCCTTTATTGACGAGAGAGTTTTTAATTTTAATTGAGGTATTGAGATTTTTATCAACGAGTATATAAATGAATTTTGTATTTGTTGGTCCTAAGATCGTTGTTTGTCTAAAGGGAAAGTTTTGTATTTGTTGGTCCTAAAAGTATAACTTTACATTTTTTTACATTAAAACTTAGTTTTCATAGTTTTGCCCAGTTTGCTATAATGTCCATACTTTATTGCAGGTAATTGCATGGTAAGCTATCAAAAAGCAAACTGTATAACTTAGCATCATCTGTAAATACAGATACAACATCTAAAACCAAATAAGAAAAATCTTTATTATATATCATAAAAGTAAATAATGAGGGACCTCACAATTTACTATTATCCATTCTGAGTATATACCACCAACAATGATACTCTAATCCCGATCTAATAAGTAACATTAAAATCCAATTGTAGAGTTAGTCATTTATTCTATAAGCTTTTGATTTTAGAAGTAGGAGTTGTGAAATGTGTTTAAAGATTTCAATATATCTGATATAAATTTTCTATATCAGTTTTATTCTCCAAGATTAATGTCCAACATCAATCCTCATTAAAGTTTATTGCATTTTAAAAGTCGCATTTATATATTTTTACTATTTTCAGCATTACTTATTGTGTGAATTTTACTTTAATCTTGTTTAACTACTCTTAACATAACGTGATGTAGCAGGTCTAGTTTAACTTATTGATTTGTTTATTACCTATAGCATTGCATTAAACTATTGATAAAATAAAATGCTATATAAAATAAGAGACATTATAAAAAAATCTTTTTTATTGCAAAATTATTATCTTGTAATAAATTTATGACCGTGTGTGTGTGTGTGTGTGCATATGTTTGTGTGAAGGTCAATATAATACACACACACACACAGACACACACAGACACACACACACACACACACACACACACACACACACACACACACACACACACACACACACACACACACACACACATATATATATATATATATATATATATATATATATATATATATATATATACATATATATATACATATATATATATATATATATATATATATATATATATATATATATATATATATATATATATATATATATATATATATATATATTTATATATATATATATATATATATATATATATATATATTATTGAAGTTACTATGTATCAACCAGGGGTACCTTTTTCGTAAATTAAAATCTTATAACAGTTAGAAATAATAATAATGACGTATTTATTTCTTAAACGAATATTTTTAATAAAATAAATAGACTATAAAACTTATATTTTTTAGATGAAATCTTTTAAAAAGTGTTTTCATTTAAGAGTAAACTTACTATTTTAATCTTGATACTTGAGTATAGCAATATTTTTCCTATTCTTCTCGTGATGCTATATGTTTTAAATTAATTACAACTACTTCTTCTCGTAATTCAATTCGTAATGTTAAACAAAAGAATTTTATTACTCTTACCACTTCTTCTCGTGATACTATCTGCTTCAAAATAAATTACCAACACTTCTTCTCCTGATTCACTTTGTAAATGTTGAATTAAAAATACTTTTCCTACTTCGTCTCTTTTCATAAAATAAAGTTTTTATTTTGAACTCTTATTTGTTTTTGTAAAAAAATTAATAACATAAGAGTGCCTGTTTATGTAAAAAGATAGTATTATTTACATTTAAACACATTTAACAAAACTAAAGGACATTATGAATATTCCTTAATGTTACGCATGCATACCAATATGTAAAATCTAATATAAAGCCAATATTGGCAAACAATATTTCGCCAATATTGGCATAACAGTATCAGTAAAACGATAATAGATAATATCGGCGCAATATTGTTTGCAAATATTGGTAAGACAATATCGGCGTAATAATGCTTGACAATATTGGCACAATATCGGATATCTAGGCCAAGATTAGCCAAGATACCCAACATCGTGCCAATATTACGCCAATATTGTTAGCTACTAGGGAAGCGTTATCGTTTCTTTTTGATACGAATTTGTCCAAAGATCAGTATGATCAAATAAGATTTGCAGCTAAAACTCAAGGTGGCAATTTTTCCCCTCCTTATAAGTTGGTATCAGCTGAAAAATCTCAATGTTGTCTAAGTAAAATATTGCAAACAGAAAATTACGTTGAAGTAGAATGGAAGCATTTATTAAAACATACTCTAGAAAGAATTAGTAAAAGGCAGCATAAACTTATTGAGAAAGAAATTCCAGAAACTAATATTGTTCAATGCAAATTTATAGTTTCTTAACGCTTTGACGGTAGCACGCAACAAGCAAGATTCAATCAAGATCTAAATGAAAATTTTAGTAATAGTTCATTATTTATGACATCTATGATTCCTTTAAGATTGCAAACAAGCTGCGGAAAAATTTTATGGACTAATCAAACTCCTCAGTCTACTAGATTTTGCCGTCCACAGAGAATCGAATTTGCAAAGGATATTAAAGAATACGTAGTTCGATTAAAGGAGAAATTTGATAAAGAAATTGCTGAACTCGAAGAGGATGTGATTAGTTTAAAGCATGGAAAGAAACTATTAGTTGAATGTAATCTGTGTTTGACGTTAATAGATGGAAAGATTCAAGCATTTATTACAAAGACATCTTCGTTTCAACGATGTACACTGTGTGGTTGTTCTTCAAAAGATATAAATAAACTAGTAAATTTTACAAAAGGAGTATTTAATGTTAACCCAGTAGCTCTTCGATATGGTTTAAGTATTCTTCACATGCATATACGCTGTTTCGAAGCAATGTTACACATTTCTTATAAATTAGTTTTGCCTAAAAATCAATGGCAAGTGCCTGGAAAAGAAAATGAAGCAATAATAAAAGCTAGGAAGATTGAAATTCAAAGCCGATTCAAAAACAAACTTAACATTCATATAGACATGCCAAAAT